TATCGGCATTTTCTGATACCGCTCAAAAATCCTGACAAAAATCGGACGCTAATGAAAGCTTCGTACGACGAGCACGGGCATTGAGCGAAAAAGAGCCGAACGAAAAAAAGATTGAAAATATTTTTCAATCATTCTCTTTTTGCTGCCGCTGTCGATTCCCATTTCGATTTCCGCATTTAAATGAGGAACTAGTAAAATTTCTTTTACTCGATCGCACTAGAGACAGTATTATCAACTTTGAAGTCTAAATAAGTTTTCTTTTCCAAATTAAGGAATGTTATTAAAAAAAAAAAAAAAAAAAAAAAAATGCGATGAAAAAAGAGAGCTAGAGGTAAGAGTGTATATTACTTTTCTGTGGTGAATAATTAAAAATATAGACAAACACGCGCATATTAAAGTGATTTTGGGATTTGTTTAGAACGAGTCGAGTGATTAAATTCATTTCAGATGGAGGTCGGCTCGTTTGCATGTCGCACGAGGTATCAACGCCCGTTCTATCTACGTGCAAAAGCTTATCAAAACTTGTTATTTAACTATACCGGCGACTCCTGTCGGTTTATATGTTATCCCGCCTTCTACGCAATTTTCCGTATTTCCAGATATATTTCCGACTGTTATCCTTTATATAGCGTAATCTCGTTACGATATTGCGGCGCACTCGAGGCTATTCGTTACGGCGAATGTCGGTTTCGTTATTGTATCTCTCGCAGCGTGGTAATCCTAAAACAGCTGTCACTCGCAGATACTCCAGAAATGATGACCATCTTCGTCCCGCGCGACAGTCCCGTCTTGGAGATGAATTTTATCGCGCGCGGATGCAGCTTCCTCGCGAATTGCCGCTTGAAATCCTTAACTACTAACGATTTATTACGAGCGTAATAATTGCGGTCTGGAGGCAGGCTGGCGACGAGCAAAATTTTCTCTCTTCGGTATAATAATGTCCGTCTATATTTTCTCCGGTGTGGCAAATTATTGTCACTCCTGTGCGTCGAGTTGCATCGTCCGCATGCCTATGCTCACGCTCATATTTAAAAATTCTAGGTTTTTTATTTGAAAATTCACGGGATAGTTGCGCGTGTCATTTTAACAGTCGTTTCAATAACAATTAGCTTCAGGCGAGCGCGACGTAATTTGCAGCGAGTTTGCAAAAAGCTTTTGTCCCTACTGCGTTCTTGACGCTCGATTACAACGATATTAGCGCATTTGCGCGTTTACACGAGACGTCGGCGCGCGTTTCACGTTCAAGTATCGAATTAACGTAATATCGGATTAGTGCGTAAG